ATCCTTTATATTAGTTATCACTGCGGTCTGTTTAGCCGACTTCCGAGTTCAAGGCGCTACGGCCCAGGGTCCACTGTAAGTAGCTGGGTTCCCAAAAATCTTTCCTTGGTGCTCCATCCCCAAAGGCTGAGGCCTACAGAACTCAGCATCCTTTTCAGTACTGACTTACCCACACTGTCGGTAATTGGGTGTTTCTGTAACTTTGTGGATTGGCGTGGTACAAGAAGCTTCTAAAAACCATGCAATATGGGCATTGTGGATTTGCTAGTAAGCTGGCCCCTGTTTGCAACATTCACACATTCTGGAAGGGCGTTAGTTGGTTGGCCAGTATATTAGACGACAGTGAGTTCTGTCCATCGTTTAAGACAGCACACTTCCGGCTTTCACTCGCATACTGCAGACACCGCAACTAAATATAGACTAAAAGTGTGAGTGGATTCCTTGTTTAGTCTATCGTGCACCTTAACCTTTGCTTTCGTCTTCTCCCAATCGAACCTGACGATCGCGCATTGTGCTTCGGGATAGCATTGATAGAATGTATGATTTATCCGTGAAAATGGTTCTCCATAATGTGCTAGCCACAAAGCCTGGGTTATTGGAGCCACGGACTCGAGTTCAGCGTCATCTGGGCAGCGTGTACTTGTATGCTTAGATGCGCTTTATGAGGTTATGTGCTCCTTGATAAAAAAAAGACTGCGTGGGGAGGTAAGAGTCTATACCAGCCGTATCCGTGCACTACCCGGAGCTTCACCAATAATGGATGATGGTTACCGTAGTCAAAGAAACGTCTAGAACGGGTGTATGGAGTTAATTGTAGCCTGTATCTACTGTACCCAGTATTCTGAAATCGATAAATACGGTTTCCCAAGTGAAGTATCGAAATTTAACCTATTAGACCCTTCTGTCCTGTCCTTTGTGCATGCGAAGTTTGTGGTCAACCAGTAACTTTTAACCAACGTACAGAAGTTATGTGTCTTTTACACAATAATAGGCGCAACCCTTTGACCGTAGTGTTCACTAAGCCGTACTTTATGCAAAAATCGTCAGGCCAATCTGCTTTTCTTACCGATTTACATAATTTGTTTGGCTGGCTTGAGAAAAACTCCTGGTTCTTATTGATCTTTTGCCAATATTGAGCAGTATTCAGTGGTTTTATCCTGAGTAATGTCATAGCTCTATGCTTAACCCTATACCAAGATGCCATTATTTCGGATGCTAAATAACCACTCGCACAGAGACCTCGTATGCTTTCTGTTCATGTAGATCCCCCTTAGACTTAACCAGCCGTCTTCCATTGTTGTTGTTTTTGCAGGAATTGACCAACCTGCTGGCTGGCGGTCTTTCTTCGTCCGATGACGCTGACGTAGAGTCCGAGTTGGAGCAACTTCTGGCGACCGGTGCAGACAAGCTTCCCGATGTGCCCGCAACGAAGTTGCCAAAACCAGACCACAAAGCCACACTGGCGG